CCCCAAAACCCCAAAACCCCGAGTGTTGAATAAAAATCAAAATTTATAGTGTAATTAATAATTTCCATATATCTCAATATTATAAATATCTTTTCTATTGCTTATCATTACAATAAATATCTGCATTTACTAGTTTCATCTCATGTTAATCATATATATTAATCAATTGCTCGGAATTCAAGAATTTCTAGGGTTTCTGGCAGAAAATCATCTCATTACCAATCTACTTTATTGAAGATATCTTCTCCCTATATAAAACTAGTTTTATGCATTGAAATTTACCACATATTTATTTGATCAGGATATCCAGGCACACTAAAAGTCTCGAATTTTCTGTTAATATCAATCTATCCATTTGATACCTGCTGTTTCTTCAACTACTTTTTACTTTATATCAAATTCTTAATGTCATAATTATTAATTCCATCGATATGTCCTAAATTATTCATGTCAATACTCTAATGAACTATTTTCTGCTTTAAGCTCTCTGTTCTCAATTCAAGACCGTTAGAAGTAACTTGATCATCTAGATTTTTATTAAGTGTTGGAAACACTTAATCGATTGTAAGCTTCAGAGCATCATTTAACATTCTTGGAATCAAGACTTTTAGAATTGATGAACTTTCTTCAATGCAAGGATTAGTATTAGCTTCAATAAGCCAAACGTTGAAATCTTTGTCGATAATATAATCATATCCAAATATTTCAAAACATTATTTTCTCTTGCTAGAGTTTAATTTTCGTTTTGCCTAAATATTTTGATCGAATATGGAATATTTACAGATTCAATGGACAAGGCAGCATAATATTTCATCTTAGGTAAGATATCTTAATCAAAATCGCATTTAAGTTTGTTATCAGCTATATATCTCCTAAAATCTCCAAATGATAACTAATTGCCATCCTCATGTTACCCATAATTTGGGGCATTTTTCTATACTGCATTATTAGTTAAATGAATGTAATCATTGTCAAATCATTTTTTTCTGTAGTATATTCACTGCTGGAAGTCCTTAAATAGCCCTCTCTATTTAATATTACGAAATCTAAATTACCTGAAGAAATAAACTTCCTATTCCTAGTTTATTAAAACCCAAACTCTGATATCGAATTTCCGTTTGTTGATGAGGAAAGGATCTTCAATATATTTCTGAATTATAAAACTGCTATGTTTTAATATAGGTCCTCTATTCTCATTCTAACCTTTATTGTAATGATGAGGTTAATCGCTTATTTAATTATTTAGATCATCTATGTTTTATTCAATGGGAGTTTATTTCAAAGGACTTTCTATTTCTCATCCTTTACAATAATCCCTAATTAATTTTTTAAGTTTCTTAAAGCTGCTAATGACATGTATTCCTTTTCCTCTATTTAAACTTGTTGGCTTTAGAATCCATACATTTTTGCCTTTAAAATGACATAATGGCATAATATGATCTGATTTTTGTGATGATTTTAATATTTGTGCAGTTGATGGTTGCTACAATAACTATCCGAAATATGCACCTTGCTTTTAAATATCTTTTTTCTTTGAAATAAATGTGACTTGCTTCTGCTATATTATATTCTAATAACTAGCCAATTGAACGGGATCAGTGATATCACTATCGAATTTGGTCTTGAATTCTTCCATAAGAAAAAAAATATTCTTAAATTATTGAAGTTGCTATTTTAAGCTGTAAATTGGTTTTTCCATGTTTATCTTTAAAAAGAAAGTCATAGGTGTAATCTGAAAAACATTTTCATTGCAATCCTATATTGTTAGAAATTTATAATTACCTCTAAGTGATATTTCAAATTTTTAAAGAGCTCATGCTTTTTAGAAATTTCATTATGACCCTCTAAATGATTGGTCATTTAAGTAAAGTTAAAACTAAGCCTCTCAAAATTTACTTATTTAGAAACAGGTGCCCATCTAAAATGAAAATGACCCTAAGTAATATTTGGAAGTTCTTGCCAGTACTAAGATCTTTCTGTTGCTAAAATAACTTTCCTTACAAGCTAAGAATTATTACCTGGCATTATTTGAAACTATAATTTAAGTTGATTTAATTTATAAATTACCTTATAGCTCTTTGTGTTCTTCCCCAAAGGCTAGAGTTAATTAGTTTTATTGATAATTTAGGGGTATTTTGAGGTTTGTAAATCGTGAATATATACATGAGTCATAAGTGGCCTCATTTTCAAATCAAAGGGTTTTGTAAAATTTTTCCTCAACTAATAAACATCTTAATGATTCCTATATTCAGATTGAGCTGATTTCAGAGATGTGGTATTCTAAACACCTAGAGGGCTTTTTAAGTTTTCTAGATTTTTATAAAACTCTGGAAGTTTTTGCCATTGAGATTTTATGTTTGTTGTAGTGGCATTATAGTCTCTAGATTTGAGTTTACCTTTATTTTGAGATTTCTGATTAAGATAGGCATCCTCTATTTTAGACATCATTTTCTACTGCTTCTTCACTCTGCCTTAGGAGCTATGATCATTGTCATAAAATCCCCCGCCTTTTGAATTTTTCTAAGTAACATTAGCATAGATGATTTTTATAAACTAAGCCGAACTGACATGATTTGAGTCATGATAATTAGATTTTTTTTCGTATTAAGGTGAGTTTATTGTTGCTATTCTTTGATGCTGTAAATTACTTGGATTATTAACATTTTACTTTTATCCACTTTTCTAAAGAATTATATGAGTGTTACTCTCTTGATTACTTAATTCATCTTTCTAGATTGAAGTTATTTAATTAGAGAGCGATATGTTATCAAAAGTGTACTATTGGCTTTGTTAGTTTACTTTTGGAATTTAATTATTATTATTAAGATTCAGGAGTACATTAAGGGAGTTTCTCACTAAGTTCTGATTTCTTATTGATTATTCTCCTTGTTTTATGAAATTTCAATGCTTTCTCTTCTCTTTTATGACATCTAAGCCTTCTAGTCTATCCTAGAGCTTGTTAGCTCCATACTCTTATCTAATGTCTTTTTAACTTGGCTTTGATGTGAGTTAAGATTTTGTGCGTTTAGCACTATTTGAAGTCTTATTATAAATGGATGTAGTATTTAAGCTAATTTAATGTGAAATCTTTGACAGAGAAATGTCATTATGTAAATCAACCTATTAGGATTTTCTATGTGATGACTTCTTGCTAAATTGGCCTTAGCGATCATAATTTACAAGAAACTTTTTCTCAAAAATGTTTTCTTATGATGGTTACATTTAATTTATCCCTTGCTTATTTTTCTAGAAATAACAAGGTTGAATACTCTCTTTATTGATTGAATTATTATTGCTGTCATTGATAACTGGCAGTCCTTCTTTAAAATTTTGATTCATTGTTGAAGTTCTGTATTAGTTCCAAATAAAATTTTCCACCTCTCCCTCCTATTGCTTAAGTAATTAATGAGAATGCTCTAAGTGTACAGGTAAACGAAAAGTTTGATCGTTATGATAATATTCAGTTTCCATTTTTATTATATCAACAACTCTATCTAATTATTAAAGTAAAAAATATAATTTCAGTAGATTTTGAGATTATAATATCTCGGGGTTTTGGGGTTTTGGGGTTTTGGGG